CTTCCTAATAATGATTTTATTTTTCTCATACTACTTCACACTCAGTGGCCCCCTTGCGTCTTAGTAGCTTTATCGCCTTACTTTGGGTAAAATGATAACAGAAATCATCATTAGGCTACTTATTGATTAATATTTATAATCACTTTAGAATTTCGGGATTATATTAAAAATTAAATATATAAATATCGTTGTCTTTCCTTTTCTTTTTTGTGTTAGTGTAAATCACTAAATAAAAGAAAGGTTTGGGGTGCTAAAGTCTATGAATTACTTGGATGAAGCATTTTGATTATTATTAATTTTTGTCTAGTTTTATTTCATCTTATTTTTGTTGCTTTTTATCGCAACGTTCAGGTCATTTTTTATTTCCGAGCCATGCTGATTATTTAACGATAGTTGAAGTCGAAATTCATTCTAAGTAGACGTCATAGTCTTTAGATGCCCGAATATTTTAGATGAAGTATTCACATTATAATTAATTCGAGACTAGTTTTTCTTTCATCTTAAATTTATTGCTTTGGTCGGAGAAAGAGAAATATATCGCAAATAGACGTAATCTTCTTAAGTTGGTTGTAAAAATAGAAATGCATTTTAAATAGATACAATAATCTTAAGATATCCGACTTTCTTCTTTTTCGGCTTTGATACGCAAATTGAAATATCTAAGTCCAGGTCCAGAGACCCATCTCTCCAGGCAAGACTTCCTTCTCGTGGAAGGTGCTAGCGTTAGTCTTTTACGAGAGACGTGAAAGTCTTAAATTGTCCGAAGTTCTGATATAAAGAATTGCGATTATTACTAATTTTTAACCGTTAATTTTAGGGTTCCTCGATGTGGTGTAATGGTTAGAAAGCTTGTCTTACTAGATCAATTACGACTGAGTAGTGAGTTCGATCCTCATTGGGTGTTCCATACTTTCGGCTTTGTGCCACATCTAAACCGTTATTCTTTTTCATCTTATTTTTGTTGCTTTTTATCACAACGTTCAGGTCGTTTTTTATTTCCGAACTGGGTTGCTTATTTTGAAGATCCGCGACACAGAAATGCATGGAAAATAGACATAATTATCTTAAGGCATCCGAATGTCTTAAATGAAGCCTTTTCTTTATTATTAATTTTTTGGCTAGTTTTTCTTTCATCTTATTTTTGTTGCTTTTTATCTTAATGGTGGGATCGTTTTATTTCCAATTCATCATGCTTATTTTGAAGTATTAAAGGAAAATGACGAGGAAACACACGAAACAAGATAAGGAATTTATTTACAAATTGACACATATGAAGTTGTCAGTAGCTTGTTTCGGGAAAAGGAATCAAATATTTAAAGTTCTTAGTTTCGATGAATTCTCAAGAAGAGTAAATGTTCATATTAAATCATCTGACACAAAGTAATATTCCAAAATGTTTAAAACAACTTGAGAGAGTTCGTTTTTCATATAAAAGTTATACGGTCGTATTCAACATGAATGACGAGATATATTTTAAGGTACTTAGCTTTGGAGATGAATAGAGTTCTTTGAAATTGCCCTGCTCTCATTAGAGGCTGATTATGTATCAGCGTGTAATTTGAAACTGGCGTTATTCAGACGCGTGTAACTCTGGCTTTCTGCCTCCTACTTCTTTCTGCATTTTTTCTCTCTATCTCTCTCTGCCTTGATTCAACTTTCTTTACCTATTTATATCAAAAAGCGATTTCACATCGGCTCTCAGTTTGTAAGCTGCTCCCTTTTCCATTAGTCAAAATAAATTTTCACATAGGCTCGTTAAACTTTGCCTTAGTCATTTCTTCAACTCGGAGCCAATTCCTTTTTCTATTGGTCAAAATAAATTTTCGCATAGGCTCGCGAATTTGAAAACAGTGGACAAAAGAGAGTTATTTTTATTTCGGATTAACCAGATTTTAACGGTAGTAGATATAGAAATGCATTGAAAATAGACTTACTAGTCTCAAGTTGGCCGAATTTCTTAGTATCGTTATTTTCATTCATTTTTTTTTTTTTTATGTCAGTCGCATATATTTACCTTATAACAAAACAGACAAAAGTGTTTAAATAAAAAAAAATACTCACTTTTGTATTTTCTGGGCCGTATTTAATTTTCACGAGGTCGTTAAAAATATCTTGGAAACAATCGGCAATTTCATCAATTCGAGCCGTTTCCAGTGATGTCTTGCCACCCAGCCCTGGAATTGAAAGGAAATACAGCTATGTAATATAACCGGTGAATATAATGTTTCTTTAAAAGTAATGAATAAAACCAAAGCTTTAAAAATACAGAAAATACGAGAGGAACATTTAAACTAGTAATTTTCAATATGGCGGTAACTCTTAAGAACTGTAAATATCTAGAAAAGGAATATTAAATTTAACTTAAAAATTAGTTGAAATCAAATTTCAGTAAGGGTACATTTAAAATTATCATATATATATATATATATATATATATATATATATATATATATATATATATTCCTGATCAAAAAATTCGTAAATAATTATATAGGCCACA